TGATGTTGTATTGGAGGGGGGGGGGTCTAATATTTTTGACGATTGGGGGACTGGGGTCAATCGGCAAAATATGCATGATGTCATTTATGGGTGGCCCCCTTACTCTTACGGCTAGGGCTAGAGGCATAAACGTTTGCAATATGAAGTAGGCGTAGGGCTGATGTCAATCAGGTGCAGGCAACAGTTTCAAATGTAGTCTATATACTGTGACATTCATACATTTAATGTATACTTATATGAATGTTGTTGTTTTTTTGGTACTGATGAAGGCATTTGCCGAAACTTCGAAACGTCTACATTTGTATTTTGTATAAGTATAATAATCATTTAATTAAAATTAATGATAAAGCTGAACCTATAACTATAAAAGTAAGTATTTTAAAAACACAAATTGTGTGTGTCTAATTATTCAAATTTAAAGCTTTCTCGAAGTCCAACACTCTTGCTTATAATTAGTTATTTTAACAAATGAGTGTACTAGAGTTTTTAATTTCAAAATGCGCTCTTTAAAAATAAAGTTCAATCTTTAATTAAGGTGGTACTGTGTTACACAAGTTACATTGAAAATTGAGGTTAAATATCATTTATTATATCCATTACAAAGTTCGATTTCTTTGTACATGTACATATAATAGTTGTTTTTATTTTACCTTACCAAAATAACTATGGCGCATGCGTAGACTATCACCACGTGAAAAATCTGCATGGTGCAAGACCAATGTGAAAGTCACCGGCTCACTATAGTAGATTATCTAACATTTTAAAATGTCTTGGTTGTTCGGTGTAAAAAATACACCCCAACCTACGGTTGGATTTCCACAGGTACCACCACCACCCGGGGGCTCCGATGGTGACGACGGGAACAAGAATAAGTCTAATAAAATGGAATATTCATTTGACTCTTCTGCGCTAGAGAGAGCTGCTAAGGCAGCGAAAGAATTAGAATCATCAAGTGAGTTAGTTTTGTTAGTATTAGTTTAAGGTTAGTAAATGTGGATAGTTTAAATGTAAAAGAAAGTTATTGGGTGGAACCTGTACAGTTATACCCAATTAGTTATTTTAAAGTTGGCTATTTTATAAACTTAATTACTAATTTTAAGTGTGCTTGCGTCCAATTAACATTGAAATTTAATCTATTTCTAACTAAATTTGTCAAATGAAAATGAATTAAAGAGCACCAATAATATTTTTTTTAAAGGTATTAGACCATAGCCAGCCCCTTTTTTATTGGATAAACATGATTATTTAGGGCTATTCATAAGGAAAGTGGGGGGGGGGGAGAGGGGTGTGTGTTAAAGCTAAAGAAAGTATGTGCAGAAAATAGCTTCAAATTGAAACATAAAAAAAACCCATGCCAAAAATTTGGTTTCTTCCTTCATCTAGATTAAACATTTAATTGGAATCCTTTCACAGGACAGTATGAGATGCAACAAAATTGTTCTGCCCCCCTTAAATTCCGATATAATTATATTTGCAAAGGGTTCAGTGTAACTGAGTCCGCCCAACATAGACATAATGTCATAATTTATTTACTAGATAATATAAAATTCAATAAATTAATAAATTCCAATGACCTTCAAAGGGCAATTATGTCATGTTCAGGCCTAAAATAAATAATATGAAAATATATTTTTAATTAAGTTATAGGTCTAAGTACTAAGTGATCTAATGGTTAATTAATTTGTTTCCAATTTCTATATTTTTTTTAATAGTTCAGAGAATAGGTCTGCTTTTTTATATTTATTTTAATATGCTTAGCCCTACTTATAGTATATAGGCATAGTTCTTAACAGTGTATAATTTATGCTTCGCTACTTAGTTAACTTAGGCTTGTATTATCTGAAATATCCATTCTTTGCAGAACATGCAAAAGATGCATTACTACTCATTCAAGAACAAGAGAGAGTCAAAGCACTGGAAACACAGAAGCAAATCAAAGTATGAATATATAATTATAGTAGGCCTATAGAAAACTAACAAAACAAAATTCAAAGAACTGGAGATTTTTTAAAAGTTTCATTGCTAGTTTGTGACTTAAAAAGCACTGAATTAGAAATTCAAGTAGTGCAGTGCTTATCTACTGTCGAGCATATTTTTTGTATTTAGATTTTTTTTTTTTTTTTTGTTTAATTAACCAAAGGTTTACAATTTTGACAATGGAAAAAAATTTATTTGTAAACACTAAAAAAAAAAAGCAAATTCTCCCTTAATAGTGAATATAATATTAAGGTTATTTCTAGGAGAGCCTTGTCATATAGCGGATGTTGTTGTTTTTTTTTTTAAATTTATTTTGAAGTATTATTTTTAGGAGTATGAAGCACACGTTGAGCAACTTAAACTTGAGCAAGTCCGTGCTTCAGCTGAGGAGCGCAGGAAGACCATGGTGGAAGAGACCAAACAGCACCAGTATAAAGCACAGTATGATGATCAGTTAGCTCGGAAACGTTATGAAGACCAATTGGCTCAACAGGTTGCTAAATAAAATGTTTTTAGATCTATTGTGATTGTAATCTACTGCCCATGCTAGGCCTTTTGGAGATAAATACAATCATCAGACACAACATGTTACTTTTCAATGTATTTTATATCAGGCATTTCAATGATGACTCTTATTTGTTTGCTTGCTCCAACTATTTAATGTAGACTTAATGTCAGAAACTGCTATTTCAATTTTATTATATATAGTTATGCTTTTCTTACAAAGGCAAACATTCCAGAAAAAAATTTATATATATATATATATATATATATATATATATATATATATATATATATATATATATATATATATATCTAATATATATATTGTGTTTTTTTTTTTTTTTATATATATATATACAAAGCTAATGTATAGCTGGTGTGTTATGTTTTTTTTCACTTTTCTTATAATATGATCTTATTTTTAAATATTTTGATAGGCTCGTATGAATGAAGAAAATCTTAGGAAGCAGGAGGAGTCTATAAAAAAACAGGAAGCTATGCGAATCGGTGAGCCAATGAAAATAATGCTATCTAAAGAGTAACTAAATTTTGCATAATATAGTTATCTAATAAGTAGTTAAATGGTTAACTGTAAATACACCTGAATAATGTAGAGATTATTTTTTTTTTTCTTTGTTTGTCAGTGTTTGTTTATTTTCTTCAGCTACTATGGAAAAGGAATCAGAAATTCGTCATAAACATGATATGATGAGAATAGAGGCGGAGATGAGAGGAAGAGCTTTAATGGAAAGAGAAAATAAAGATATAATCAAAGAGCAGATTAAATTGCGAGCAGAGGAAGAAAGAAAGACAAAGATTCAGTCTATAACGTAAGAATACTCTATAGAAAAATGTATTCATTAATTTGCATACTTTGTGAAAAATAGCATACTCATTGCCATCGAAATTTGTACAGCATGTTGTAATTTCTAAAAGTCACTAAAATGTGAGAGATCTTTTTTTTTTAAAATTATGTTACTCTAGTGGGTTGATTAAAGATAAAGTTTTAGAGTTGTATTACCTTTGAATGGAGTTTCCCTTTGCTATATTTGCAAGCTTATTTTGAGATGACTTGTAAATAGGTTTGTTGCACAATTATGCATGTAGTTCTTTGATTTCTTCAGAACATATGGTCAAGTAATTGGATCAGGTTTAACTACATTCCTCAACAACTGGAGCATGATTACAGCATTTGTAAGTTCAATGTCTTTCAGAGCTCAACCATTTTTCTGATGTGTGCTGGGGGAGACTTTTTCATTGGGGTTTCAATTTATGAAACTTTTCTTTTTTTTTACTTATGTGGACTTAAGATTTAAAATTACTTTTTTTAAATTAACTTATAATGTTTACCATAGTTTTTTTGTTGTTTTTTTTTCACTAGGCAGGTGGAGCCACCCTTGTAGTGGGAGGATACTATGGAGTGAAGCACAGTTTTGGACTGGTATTCAGGTCTATTGAATCCAGATTAGGCAAGCCATCTTTAGTGAGAGAAACATCCAGATTCACTGTAGGAAGAGCTTTGAAGCATCCAATTGCGGTAATTTATTCTTTATTTTATTAGCACTTCTATTTGAAAGGATAAACACATATAAAATTCTTTTACTTCTAATGGATGCTAAAGATTTTTTTGTGTAACCTTTTATTTTCCAGACTGTTCAAAACTTGATAAGGAAACCAGATGACCCACTGAAAGGAATTATTCTCAAGGTCAGTTGAGATTGTTTTCCAAAAGAGAAATATAAAAAATCATCTTTTATTACAATCCACAAATGGGATAATGTTATTTTTATGTTGAAACTAACTGCTTGAGCTTGAGGAACATGACTTAAATTTGTTCCTCAAAAGTAATTTACTTATCAAAAATGTTCATTAAAATTTATGTTGCTTTTACTTTTTCTCTTTCAGCCTAATCTTGAGGAAAAGCTGAGAGACATTGCTATAGCAACAAGGCATACAAAAAAGAATAATGGTTACTTCAGAAACATACTTATGTACGGTCCACCAGGAACTGGAAAGACAATGTTTGCTAAGGTGAGATATTCATTTCTCTTCTTACTTTGAATTATAAACACTTTTCTTTTGTTATTGAAGGGATATTTTGTAAATAGAGAACAATAGGTAATTGTAATTTACTGAGAAGCCATTGAAAATGTTTCCTTTTTTCCCCTTAGCGATCAGTGTAGTACAGAATATTAAAGTTTCAATAAATAATTTTGTTAATGTTCCTTTGCATCTTATACTTCAGAGTTTGGCTAAGCACTCAGGGATGCATTACGCTATAATGACAGGTGGTGATGTGGCTCCAATGGGAAAAGAGGGAGTTACTGCAATGCACAAAGTATTTGACTGGGCTCTCACAAGTAGAAAAGGGTAAATATTCACCTTATATTTATATAATTACTAGTATCCTGTTTATAAATTATAATAAATAATGTAAAGATCTTTGCAACTATAAGTCTTTTTTTAAATAAAAAAAAAACAATCATGCATTCAGTGGGTTCTGTTTCACATTATCATAGGTTGCATTTGATAAAGTGTTAACTGAAATCAATAGCTAGTCTTTACTACTACTGGGAAACCAGTCTTGAGTCTAATTTAGTCACAGGACTTTGATATTTCTGGCTCCCAAATTTGTTTCTTGATACTTTAGTCATAAGACACTTACAAGTTTTTAAGCTATTTAAAAAATTATTTTTGTTTCACTTTCAGTGTTGTTCTCTTTGTTGATGAAGCAGACGCCTTTCTTAGGAAAAGAAGTACAGTAAGTTTATCTAAAAGAATATTGCTTCAAAATTTTGTTAGCTCTGCTTTATGAGATATTGGTAATTTTTCAGTATAAATGTTTTGCCTTATTCTATGATATTAATAATTTTGTATTCAATTGCAGGAAGTTATTAGTGAAGATATGAGGGCGGCACTTAATGCTTTCTTGTATAGGACAGGAGAACAGTCTCAGAAGTAAGAAATGTCCTATTTTAATTTTTAAGTACATTGTACAAAGTCATGTTTTAATTGCTTAAACAAAAATTTAAACAATATTTTTCCATGTAAATTGATGTCAACATCAAATTATAATTCTTAAATCCAATTTTTTTTTTTATAATTTACTTTACATAAATTCTGTTTATCCTTAGATTTATGTTAGTTCTAGCTAGCAACCAGCCAGAGCAGTTTGACTGGGCTATAAATGACAGAGTTGATGAAATGGTGGAGTTTGAGATTCCAACATATGGTGAGAGGGAGAGGCTAGTAAGACACTATTTCCAAAAATTTGTACTTGAGCCAGCCACAGCTAAGTCTGGGTAAGTCCTAGATATATTACAGCCTTGAAATTTTAAAAATCTTAACCAACCATGTGTTGATGATATACACTATATTCATGTTACATGCATGCAATGGGAACATCAGGATTTTTTGTAAACTAATCGAAACCTTGTAACAGACCTGGCTACGCTTTTTTAGGATTTTGGCAGAGTTGTCAAAATCTACAAAATAGAATGTGTTTAAAAGATATGTTCCCGTAGTTTTAAGCTTTGCAAAAAGACATTCATTTTCGGTTATTACTTTAGCTCATTTCTACATCCGGCTCTGAATAAAATGTAAATACTATTGCTTGGGGATTGGAATTTGTGTTGATTTAGGGGAAGTTTCTAATTATATTTTAAGGCTAAAAAATACTCGACATTTTGTAATGTTCGCTGATCGCCATATTCTTGCATTATATTTTCATAATAAACTCGCTAGATATGGCAACAGTAATAATTAGTGTAGTAACTACATCATACACCACCGAAGAAAACAAAAGCGAGGATTGACATAAATTGTCCTAAGACTTGAGTGATTATACTAATATTACTGTTGCGGTTTTTAGCAAGTTAATTATGAAAACACGCAAAGCAACATGACCACCGACTATCATTACAAAAATGTGACAGTGTTATTTTTTTTAAACTTAAATATTGAGGCGCCCATGTACGTAAAATCTCCTAAATAAGCACCACCGCCTCCCCTCTCAGGCACACGTTATATAATTAAATATGGTCCCCATCCACTCAATATTTCTCGATCCATTCACTGCTGGTTGATAAAAGCAGGTTGAAACTAGACTACCAACCGAAAATGTACTTTTTAATTACTATTTTTATTTTGAAAAAGTGCTGGAATGCAAATATTTTCAACCCAGTTTGTAGGTCTTGGCATAATATTGTAAAAAAAAAACCCCTCAAGACCATACATTGTACGCCAAAATCATAAGAATTAACAGGTCTGGCGGCATTTGAAATCTTCAATAAGCAGCTATATGATTTTAATACCCCGGTTGTGTTCCAAATCTCCTTTCCTTGCCCCTCTTACATGAAATATTTAATATACTATAATAATATGTTAATTAAAAAGGGAGTACTATCGGTGAAATTTTATGTTATCTGCACCTACACCCAAATATTAACTGATATCTTAGCAGATACGCAGTGGGGGGTATCTAGGGTTGATTCCTCCTGGGCACTGCCAAATTTTGTGCCAGCCCCATCCATGAAACTCTGCAGTTGGGTGAAAATGCAGTCTCGATGTAAAGTGAAAAGGTATCGCCATTGCGGATCGCATTCCCTCTCCCCGTCTACGCTACTGAAAACACGCACGCTAAACACAATGTCGCGGATTGCAATATCTTATATAAATGTCAGTCTTCTACTTTTGGAATAGATCTTTCCTTTTTTTAAACCACTTAACCAGATCCTGCTCGACCATCGATGCGAGCAGTTGTTGAAGAGGCCTACATTATAGTGTTGGTTTATTTACTGCTATGTTAAATGGTATTGCACAGTTTTGAGATGTATATTATTTTTCTGAAACCATATTCTTGGATTCTCAGCGTACTTTATTAAGCCATTAAATTTTTTGTCCATTGTTCATTTCAGCCGTTTACGGGTAGCAGAATTCGATTATGGCAAGAAATGTCAAGAAATAGCTGAAAGGACTGAAGGTCTCTCTGGAAGAGAAATATCTAAATTGGGTGTTGCCTGGCAGGTTAGTACAATGTTTTGCAATTTCATTATAAGTGTTTAATACCAAATGTGTAATTAGCAGTTGATGCACTAAAAGAAAAATATTTATGGACATCTTAGGGCTTAGTAAACCATCATTTAGACTCACTTTAGTTATGTCAAGTTTTAAATTTAAAGTGACATATAATGTTTCAGCTCTTCAGTTTCAGACATTGTACCAATGATAATTTTTAAGGATCATAATGTAATCGCCTAGTCTAATTATCGCAAAGAAAATAATTACCCTTATTTATGTAAATATTATTTTGTCTATGAGATGTCAATGGTTTGTCAGCCTCCTTGATTGTTCATCAAATACTACATTGGAGCTGTTAAAAAAGGGGGGCGGGGGGGTGTGTGGGTGTTAGTTAATTAAGCCACAATAATGGAGGATATATTTTTTTTTGACATTAGTGTAAATGTCTACATAATTCGCTAACATTAAAGCTGTAGGTAGCACTAAAAATTTAGTGATATATTTCAAAAGATAAATAATTATATATTTTTTTTATTTTGTTTTTAAATTGTGATTTCATTTCTTCTATAAATGTTTTTACTTATCAAATAAATTCCAGGCCAAGGCATATGCTTCAGAGAAAGGAATTTTGACTGAAGAAATGATAAATGACATTGTTAATGATGCCATAGAGCAACATGCCAAGAAGGTTAGCTGGCAACATGGAGAAGTTACCACTGATGTTTTCTACAGATCTAGCAAAGACAGGTCAATGTCAATTGTGCCGCCCACCCCACTGGTGGCAAAAGTGACACCCATCCCGTCTACACTAGGACAATCACCTACAGTAGGACAGACTCCGCCAGATCCAAATAAAGACCATAAATCATGAGAATAATTCATGTAGTGTCACTTGCATTCGTTATTTTATGAATAAGGTGCATATAAATAATTTGAGGTTGCTTTTTTTTAAAATGTTGATTTATTTTTTTTTTAAAGATATACTAAGGCATGAATGTTACTGTCATTATGTGTGATGAAAAAATAGATCATTTGAGAAACTTTTTGACAACTGAGTGCATTTGTTGTGTGAGACAGAACTGACCTAAAATGTTTTAACTAGAAATAGAGGAACAGTGATATAATTTAATAAAACTTTTAGCTGTGTTTATTACGGTAGCAGTGAAGGATGAGCCACATATATCGGGTGTAATTCTGTTTTATCTTTGTAAAATTTCTTTAATCTGAATGAGAACGGAGAGTAACTGCCATTATGTTTGGGACCATAACTAAAACTTCCTCCTTCCAAAACAGATTTCTGTGTTAAGTTATATATTGATATGCATAAATTAATATCACAATATCTTTAAGAATTTTAAGAAATAAGACGTGTAATGTCTACAGTTGTTGGCATTTATATGTGGTTTAAGATGTTTTAAATTTTATTTAACATAAAGCAAAATCTTAGAATTTAGATATTTAAATGTTTGTGTGAAGATTGATGTCTAGTTGATTTTTGTGTAGACACTCAGAGCATGTAGATGCCAGTTTTTTCTTTATCAAAGTAAAGTCCCACTGTCAATTGCTTTAAAACTGTTTGTAGAAAAATATTTTTTTGGTAATGACAATTTTGGGCTGTGTAAACTGTGTTACACAAAGTCTGCTGTGATGGGATTGTTTGTTTCACTGCCAGTTAGTACTCTTTAAATCAAGAAAATATAGAAACAGAAGAGATTTTATCATTTGAAAAAAATAGATTCTTATTCTGAATGGATCAATTTACAAAATTTAAAAAAGTGAGATTAATACACAAAGTCTCAAGGAAGTTTTTTTTAAATAGTAATTGTAGATTATGCAGGAAAAAAAAATTAAACTTAACAAACATATTTTTGGTTAAATTACTTTGTTAAAAAAAAAGTTTTAATGACTGAGAAATGCTCGAAGAAAACAATTTTTAGTCAGAAAATTGCTAGAGTGCTTTTGGGTTAGGATTTTTAAATGGTGGTCCAAGGGCCCGCAAGCATTACATTGCTGGTCAGCACTACATGAATATATGTGGTCATATAAAAAGACTATATATAATATTATATTCCGTGATGAAATTTTGAAAATTGTGGACCGGTCCATTAAACATAAAGATTGGGAAATGTCGCACTGGGTATTTGAAGCTGGGGCACCTTTATTATTAGCACTGCTATATTAGCAGCTATACAAATTCTTAAAAACCATTGTACCCCTGCATATGGAGTACCAGTATCAATACTTATACACACTGAAAAAACTATTTTTAACAGAATTGATTGTGATGTCTTAGATGTGTGAGTTAAAAGGATCATCAGTTATGTTGTCAAACAGATCATTTTGAACATTTGTGTGTACAAATATTTTTTTTTACTTATCATACATGTTATTAAAAATTTATTGTTTTCTATAAGTGTTTTGTATCATTTCTTTCAAGGACCTCTTCACTAGTCAAGGTTGATTCCATTTTTTATTAGTTTATTTTTTTTTTAGTTTCTTTTATATTTTATAATAATAATAATCATTGTCCTGGTGCTTTTTTGGGGACTTTATGACAAGTGCGGTCATTGGTTAATGATTGGTCAACATCAACTGATGTCAATATGTTGGAAGCCACATATAACTAATATAAATTTTCAGGATTTATGTGTACATTGAAGTGCCCTTTAGTTACAATCAAATTTTTAAAAAGTTAAATCCATTAAAGGGTGCGAATACCATGCAAAATGTGTGCATAGACTTTCTTTTTGGAAAAAGTGTAGGTAAACAAAGTAAATTCATGCTTGGTACTGATGCTTTGCCCCGGTGCAGCTTTTGCTTGCCACAAGCCTGAGTGTAATGTAACAAGGATGAAGCCTATGATGATAAAATAAGTAGGGCTACTGAATACAAAAAAAATGACGAAAACAAAATTTCAAGGAGTTATAAATAACAAAAGACTGACGGCCTCAGTATTTGAAAAAAATGGGAATAATAATAATCATACAAATCATGTTTGTTTTATTTGTACATATGGAACTGGTTGGCTTGATAACAGACAACATTCACATCTGCTAATCAATTTCTTCTCTGGACAGATCCTTACAGCCGTAGTGTTTTGTAAAAAGCCTGTTAATGCAATGCCCTAAACCACTCATGGGTCATCTGCTAATAGAAACTCAATTCTAAATGCTGTCTGAAACCGTCACCAACCCGAATACCTTTCATACCAACATAACATTACTTTCCTTCATCTATTGCAAAAGAGCAGGAGGTAGAGTCTGAGTGAGACTGGGCCGCATCAAGTATTCCACAACAAAAAAACATAAAGGGTTCTCATTCTCAAGAACTAGGTTTCTCTTTCTTCTTCCTACTCCTTGTTGCCAGAGACCTGGCAGTACATCTTCCTACACAGCTGAGCAACATTTAGCTTGAGTGAGGAAGCAACTGAGACCCTCAGTATAGCTTGAAGATTGCTCACCAGTAAGTTTGACCATAAACGTTGACTTGTTAAAGTTCATAGTGGGAAAAGAGCTTTTCAAACAGATAGGTACTCCCAAAAAAGCCACATGATCCGCTTGAACAACCTGGAAATCTCAGGGGAGGTGGAGGGCAATGCTCTCATAATTTGTCCATGCTTGCCTGTTTTTCCATTCACCTCCCTAAACTTAGAATTTCACTGAAGATCAATCAGCCCCATTTTATTATTTTTTTTAAAGAGGAGGGGGGGGGGGGGCATCTTCCACATTGAAGGACAAATGGTCAGCAAAAAGTTGAAAAGTGGCTCTTTGAAGTCTAAAAAGGTGATAAAATTCTTCCTTTGGCTTTGAAAAGGCATCAGTATACTTGCTACTTATAATAATTTGTCCATGTTTGCCTGTTTTTCCATTCCCCCCCCTAAACTTAGAATTTCACTGAAGATCAATCAGACCCATTTTATTATTTTTTTTAAAGAGGAGGGGGGGGGGGCATCTTCCACATTGAAGGACAAATGGTCAGCAAAAAGTTGAAAAGTGGCTCTTTGAAGTCTAAAAAGGTGATAAAATTCTTCCTGTGGCTTTGCAAAGGCATCAGTATACTTGCTACTTATTGGTGGTCCAGAGTCCATGAGTACTGTACTTTGCATGTTGGGAAATGGCAGAGGGTTCTCTAAGAACCATAACACACATTTTGTGCAAAATGCCCTGACATTGTCATGGGCAATACTGACAAGCTACCCCTGGTCTTGTAACTTCTTGCTGAGTAGATTCAGCTCCTTTTGTAATGTCAACGAGAAAAGCTAAGTCCATGAGCCATTTGGGATCACTTAGTACAGGAACAACTCCATCCTTCTCCATGAAGGCTTTAACTGCTAAAACGTGTTCAGTGCCAGGGCAATATTTATGAATAAATGATGCGAGGGAAGATACTATTGTAGGGAGAATGAATTTTGATTTTTTTTTGTCCTAGAAAAGGCCTTTTTGACTAACCATTTTGAAAGTGACCAAACTGACAGGCTCAGAACTTCCCTCACTCGTAAATAATAGCGGCAATTTTAATAGGGATCCTTTGATACTGTCAGATTGCTACGATTTACAGAATTATGGTTATGCATTACCCACTAACTGACTTTTTAAACTTTTCTCAAAACCACACTTCGGCCACGTTTGTCTCATAAAATGCTATAAATAAAAAACTTTTTGCCCAATTTTAAACGGTTTTTACCTATATAATCATCAACACCCAAACCTAAACAAACATAATCAGAATAGTTGGTGAGATTCGACTGAAACTGTCGCTGAGGGTCACATTATAGATATGAGAATGGGGAAAACGCGCAGGCCGCATTAACACTAAACTTTGCTGTCACGTAGCGGGCCGCAAAATGGGCAGCCAGTTTGAGACCCTTGCAATAGAGTTCTAAATTATTCATAGGTTTTTTGTTTTTTTATCTTCAGTTAATAAAACTTTAAAAAAAAAATATTTTTTTTTAAATTTACACTTTTTTAACTTTCTACTATTATTTTCAGTAGGCCTGCACAACATACGGCCCGCAGGCCATTTGCAGCCCACGAAGTAACGAAATATTATCTATTATTTTTATTTTCTTAATAGCTTTCCACCCTGTCCTATTTTCCGCAAAAAATTTTCATAAAGTATTATGGCCCGCCTTACATTTTCAGTTGTGCCAGCCTGGTCTAAAGCATGACTATATTACTGAATACAAAGAATTGGGGCGTCCATTCCTCTTTTTTTTTTTTCTATTGCTAATAATGATAATTTTTAATTAAAGAACTACAATAGGCTTGTACTATACAATCAGAGGCTCTGCAACACTGAGTTTACAAGAACTGGTTAACCTTAAGACTAAAAGGAAAAGCAAGTCAATAAGATTTTAAATTAAACATTTTCTTTAATTACAACAGTGATACATTCGAATTTGCATTTAACCAACAGTGAGACAATATTTATAATCAATACATTAGTTCTCAAGGTATGAAAGTATGGTGTAACCGAGTCCAATAGTGGGCCTAATATTTTCTTTTGTTGTTAGGTCTCAATTTAAATTATACATGATGTAATAAATAAGGGGTGGGACATTAGAATATTAATAAAGATCAAGGAGTGTAAAGTGTTTCGTTGCATACTTGAGAGATTGGCGGGGTTTCTGCACTAACTGGGATTCTTTTTAAGTCTCTTACTTTAATGGATGTTTTGTCAAGTAACTATAGCAGATGGGAAAGTCACCTCTTGCCACAGCGATTTGTTGGCTGGCTATAACCTGTATCTTTGTAATTATGAGGATTTATTGTCTCCAATAAAAAAATTGTTTTCCACATAAGTAGAAAGAAGCTATTTTTTTATTTACAACAGCAAGTATTATAGTTAACAATGTGCTAGACTTTAAGACTTTAATTTGTTAGATATTAACACTTAGAGCCCTTATTAGGGTCCTTATGACTTGCATAGCTACAATTTTGCAGTACATTTTAATCCAAGTTGTGATGAATCTTTTATTTGCCTGCCACAAAATATGACTAGTTAAATTTTTATATCATTCATCCTGTACAAATATAATATCAGTGCTATTAATTTGTTGTTATTTCCTCAAAATGCCCACAATGATCTTTCTTAGCACAGTCAACACAAATAAATGCTTGTACTTGTAGTGTTTAACAAGGCACAATTGGTGCTCAGCTGTGACATTGGTCATCACAAAAACAATAGGTCTAATCTTTGTAAGATTTACTCTTTTATTAAAGTAAATCATGAATATTTCATTGATATCGGGCTACTTCATAAATGTGTATTTTCCTATGGTCTTAGGCGACCCGTGTGAGGGTTGTTTGACCACCCGAACCCCCCTCCCCCCCCCACCCCAAGGGTTAGTGAGCCACAGGTTGAGAACCGCTAATATAGGGTTTAACAAAATATCCACTATTCTTTTTTTGTATATATTCTTTTTTTAAACACTGAAATTAAAACTAATATAATTTTTGCACCACATTTTCAGGAGCACTTTAGTATTAACTTATAACCTGGGTCTCTTGACCCTGGGACGCCCTGAAAGAGCCCTCTCTGTGTTGGTCACAACTGGCGGACTGGTGCTGGTGACCTGAGCCTCTGCACCTGGAACAACTCTCACAGTCTGGCCGCCATAGTAAAGCCCGTAAGTCCCAGCCACAGTGCTGTCTAAGCCTTGCTGTGTTATGGTATCCAGTCTTGACTGGATGAGATCAGCAGCAAAGTTTGTAACATTAGCATCGAATATGACAAGCTGGATGAAGGAGAGATTGGCCGAGTTCAAAGACGCTGAGTGCTCTGCCAAAAATATAAGCAGAGAGTCGAAGAATGCCTGAACGCAGATGTCAGCTGGAAACAGTCCTGTGATAAAAAGAAAAAAAATTAGTACGATGAAGCAACTTGCCATGAACAACTTAAACTAAGTAGTAAAACCGAAATGAAAATTGAGGGTAGATTTAAAATTTGGATAAAATCATATCCCATATTAAATATTGTATTACACTGTAATTTGTTGCAATTTACAGATTTGTCTTTGAGGCTGATTCTGATACAAAATACTTGTTTTAACTTGAGCCCTAAACACTTAAACTAACACTATTAGGAAGGTAGATTTGTCATCAATGTTTTCTTTTCTCTAATTTATTTACTATATCTATAAGCTACTTTTACATAAATGATTTCGCTACTTTGTAATATTTTTCTTAGCATAAAATTGGGCATTGCTGAAATAAGCATGGCGGACTTTATGGCCGTTTCCTCTCACCTTCACCGATAAGAGGGAACGAGATACTCTCCAAACCCAGCCTCTCATCCGCAAATCTCAAACAGTTGGCATAGACCTCCAGCAACGCTCGTCTGTTCTGAAATTCCTGACCTTCCACCCAGTTTGGTGCCACGACATGTAAAATGGCTTCAACTGAACGGTCAAGTCTCCCACCTGCTGCTGTTGTTAAAACATCTGGTGCCTCCAAATTTCCACCTAAAAATGAAAAGAGAGAATACATAATTGGTGAAAATTATTTTTCTTATAATAAATCATTCTAAACTAACAATTACTAATTGAGAATACATAAAAAGAGAATGGGTACATTAATTTGTGAAAATTATTTTTCTTTATAATAAGACATTCTAAAATAACATTTACAAATTGAGAAAATTGAAAAAGAGATTACGTACAGTAATTTTTGAAAATTATTTTTCTGATTATAAATCATTTTACATGAAGATAAAAGATGAAAAGAATGGATAACAAGCCAAACTGCAAATGTATGAGAGCCAGGATGGAGAACTAATTACGGAAAATAGTAAAGTACTGGAGATGTGGGCTGAATATTTTGAGGACATACTAAATGCAGACAATAAACAAGATGAAGATTATCAACCACCACATGGAGGACCAGACCCTATAATAAACTCCCCAACTCTAGAAAAAACTGAATTAATAAAAAAAATTTTTTAAAAAACACAAAGACCTCATCACAGCAGAATTTATTAAGTATGGTGGGAGAGAACTACACGCTCAGACACTGTTCGATCATAACTTTTAAAACATTTAACTTTATGAATTGCAGTATTCTAAATCTGCTGTATAAAATAAGCTTGGAATCTGTCTTGTGTCAAGAACTGAATCATCTGGAACTTCATTAGTCTAATTGTCATTTCTTTGTTGAGACCTTAGCTGTTTCTTTAATATTTCCTTACTTTTCAAATTTTATGTTGCTGGAATTTGCTGCCCCTTGCAAAAATGCCCTCCTAGGCAGCCACCTATATCTCCTATAACAAAAACTGGCACTGTTTCTATGACATTGCTATTTGCCAAGACTAAACTCCATTTGCACCCCATTTAAGCTGTAAGTGTATATTACCATCATGGACTGCTGCTTGCATCAACCAACAGTAAAGGAACACACCAAAGATTGACAGTTCAAAGCAATGCTATTTATACCCTGTAGCTACAAAGCCTGTAGTGATCTGTAACCAAGTACGTAACTTAATTCTACGACCCTCCACAGCCCCATTTCTTTACTACAAGAGTGAACAAGTTGAAGAAAAAAAAAAGGTTACGTTCTGAAACCAATTATGACATTCCAACAGGCTGAAATGTAGTACAAGCAATAAAATTTAGGTTCTTTTAAAATGAACCAAAATTATTAATTATTTTTTTTTAATGCAACTATCACAACATTTTTAATCCTTCATGGCTAAAATTAAATCTTCGTAGGTCACCCATAAAATTTACTACAATAGATCAGACATGCATAGCTAGTTGAATACACCTGTTACTGTTATAGAACAAAACGCTGTAGCTAACAATTACTTAAATCTTGTTCAATTCTTAATGGTCAAATAATGCTGTATAGAGTGCATTCTACATTTGTTAAAGGTTTCAACTACAAATGTCAGATTTTTTAAAGGTTTCATTTAAAAATGTCAGACTTGTTAGAGTAGAATAAAGCAGACCCAAGCTGATATGTAACTCTGCAACAATTATGCATCAAATGCTGAGTAAAAACTTAAATTTACTGGATAAGCCATCATAATATAAGAAATACCTTTAATTTCTATATAATCTGAACACCCTGCCCTCATTAAAGCCCCTGCCTTGGCTGCTATACTTTTACTGCAGGGAGTGAAAATGTGACTGAGTTCACCGTCTGTCCAGTTGACGATGCTGGAGGTTTTCTGCTCTGCTATGTCACCCATGCAGACACAGACATGGAGGAAGTTGGCCAGCCGGAAATTTAAAACCTATATTTGATAAATACAGGAAGAAAACGACAATAAATATTTGAATGCGGCATGTAAGTAATGACAATAAAGATTTTATTTCAATTATTTTTTTTTCTTTCTGAAATGCAAGATAAATAGGGCATTTCAAGTCAGACTGAAATTTGTTTACTATTTTAAATGAAGGAAGCCAGTTGTTTGGTTCAGGAAAGTTGTTTGTCGTACTTGAAAATTATCAAGTGAAGACAAGTCGTGTGGAAGAATCTGATTATGGATGTGCTTGAGACAAGTTTTTGATCTGACCGTTCCTACTCTCTCTTTAATTTAGTTTTTTTTTACTCTGGTATAGGGAAATTTGAATTGTGTTGCAAACCCTCAAACCACCCAGTTGCACTTGAAAGTCAACCCTGTGGTTTAATTATGATAACACGCCTGCATCACAAAGCCTAGACGACTGAATTCATACTGGATTACCCCCAGCAATGGGAATGGACTCATCAGCCCCGCAAGGCAGCTATTCTTGGGGAAGAACCAGGGTCCTGCAAAGAAAGGGGGCCGGCCACGAAAGGGGAGGGGCTTATAAAGGGCACCGGCCCACATCTTCAGAGGACACCAAATTGTAACTTTTCATTCAAAATATGTGTTACGTTTTTGGAAAGAGGGCGCCTAAATACAGGTGAAAGTTTTGCATGCCACCACCCTGGAGTACAACAAGCCATCCATCAAAGCTAGAAGGCAGAAGCCAACTTGGGGTGGGACTAATGGATATCTATGCTAACCTTGTACAGGATTTTTTGTTTTCTAATGTGTTGCCCCCAAAAAAAAGAACTTGCTTGCTGTACCTGATGACCTAAAATTTGTTGAAGTATCTCCACTGATGTGTTGGTCTGCTGGTTTCCATCTATGTTGGCTAACCCGGGGCTAGATAAGATTCTGGAAGAGTGTCCAGTGGGGCTTGCATTGTGATTGTCACCTGAAAGGTATTTTTCAGCAACTTTTATAATAATTGATTTAATTTTATCAAAAAGTTTTCTTTGAAAATATTTGCTGGCATTCAGAAAGTAAGACCCATTTAAGTCAGAAATTTTGTTAAAAGTTAAAACAATAAATGTTTTGATAAAAGATTATTTAAAGAAACCAGGACATGAAACTCTAGATAACTACCACATAAGACCAAAATTAGCAATGTTTGTTTAAATATAAACCCCAGTATATAGTCATATATTTATTTATTTAGGCATTTTTATATAGCGCTTACCTTAAAGCTCTAAGCGCTTTACAATTATTAAAAACATGTAAACTAACTAAAATAAAAATGAGACATTAGGATAGTAACTACTATACTATAGAAACAATTAAAATGGCTATAAAACGAGGGCACTTTGGCACATTTCTTCAGGTAATATATGTGCCCCGTTTGGAGCTACCACCAGCACCCAACAGACTTAGAAAGAAGAAGCGATGAAGTACTTAAACTAAGATAAGAGAAAAAAAAATCATTATTTTTATTAAATGTAAAAATTTCGGAGCGATTCCTTACTTCGTTTACTGGCATTGGACATCTGCTGCACCACTGGGGTTGCACTTTGATTAGGTCTTGCAACAGTAAATATAGGTGACAGGACACTGAAGGAGGCCAAGGGTGGTGACTTGGAATTGGCATTAGGAAGTGGCGGGCCTGCTGGAACATGCTGCCGGGGTGAGGAGCTGACAAAAGATTGGTGGCTGCCATCACTGCTTAAGAATGTGCTCATGGAACTGCGTGGACTGTGGAAACTGTTGACTAAGCGATTGGCTGCAGGGGAAGATGAGAGGAATGACTGCCAGGATTTGCTAGTGTTGGGGGAAGTCGGGGTGGATTTTGACTTGGAGAACAGGGATTTAAGGTTTGTGCTGATTTTTTTCTTCTTCTGCGACCAGAAGCTCTTGAAGCGCTCAGCAGTTGTGTTACCCTGTTGTTCACCGAATTTGGTCAGTCTGCCTCCCGGTGAGAAAGAGCTGGAAGGGTTGTTACTTTGATTGCTAATGCTCAACTGTGACTCATCAACGTCCATGTCTGTAACCTCCTCACCGTTTTCCATGTGATTCAAACTTCTTTTCAGGGGACTAGACTTAGAGTCTGATGAGGCGTCATGTAAACGTGCAGTTTTCGGAGGTGTTAAAACAATGTTTTTGAATGGAGAACTGCTCCCAGTTTCTTCTTCTGAAACAGATGACACTTGACTTGGAGGGGTGACGTGTTTCTCTATGAGGTTGTCACCTCCACCAGGCTGGGGGAGAGCAGTTATCTTCCCAGACTTTGAACGGTTAAAAGCAAACGCTGAAACCTCTGGGCTTAAATTGTTTTCAGCATTCTTCAGACTCGAGCTTGTTGAAGTGAAGTGCTGGATGTGCCCAGCAGCTGCTGCACTTTCAAGACCAGGAGGCTTGTCTCTGTCCTGCAGCCGTACAAATAATATTTTTCCCTGTAAATTTCTAACACTGTTGTTCCCCATTTTGAGAGTGTTGCAATGCTGAATTGGAGGGTTTAGTTCCTGGTTAGGAGCTGTTTGAAGGGGCTCTATATTTTGACTGATCAAATCTGTTTCTGTGTTTACTGCTGCATCCACCCTGTCTGCAGTGCTGGTCCCACTGTTCTTCTTAACACGGCCACCTTTACTTTTAGTTATTTTTTCTTTATCAGTTTCATCTTCAGATTCTGTGTCAGAATGTTCAAGATCTTTGTGTCTTTTCTTTTTGTGACTGTTACTTTCTGAAGAATCACTACTATCCGATCTCTTCTTCTTTCTTCTGAGGTCCTTCTTAAACTTAGAATTACTTCGTCTTCCCAGCTTTTTCTTTTCCCCACTGTCTTCACTTGACTCACTCTCTGAGTCCTCATCATTTCTTGAATTTCTTGTGCGTCTCCTCTTTTGATAAACTTTGACATCAGAATCAGAGGAGTTATTACCCCTCTGGAGAGAATCTCGATCGCTGCGCCTGGCCTTCTTTGGACTTTTTATGACATACTTTCCCTTTTTAGGAAACTTTCTTACTCCTTCATCACCACTTTCAGATTCAGAAGATTCAAAGTAGCCAATTCGCTTCCTTTTAGAACTTGCCCTTGTGACCATTTGCTTGCTGGGCGGCAAAAACTCCTCCACATTTTCAGATGCTTTCCTCTTCCCTGGGGAAACTTTTTGGCCTATAGGGATAAAAGGTGATGACTGTATTTCCTTCTCAACCTTTTGTGTAGGTGATTTGGGAGTTGTTACCATCTCGCCAGACAAAGAAATTAAACTTTCACTTCCTCGGCTACTGTTAGGAGATTGGGAAAACTGGTCTCCACCTCTTTTGGCTATCTCTAACTCTGGCCCAATGCTGTCATGTTCTTGAAAAGTGCTCACGTTGCACTGACCACAGCTTTTCTTGACTGTCAGTTTTGATTTATAGCTTCTGTTAGCAATGCTAGGACTTGAGGGAATGAGAAATGATTGTTCTTTAACTGTACTCCTTTCTTCAATGGTGGTTGTCTCATCGTCATCTGTTGAATTGTCCTCCGAGAAATCTTCTCCAGAAGAAGATTCTGGTCGTGTTCTTGGTGGGGTTATGCTCACAACACTGTCACCTTCTTCTGCACTAAAATATTGTTCATCTTCATGCACAGCTAAATGTGCATTTACAGCTGGAAGTGGTGGTTGGAGGTTGCTGTCAGGATCATCAGATACACTTTGAGCTTCCCGAAGGACATTTTCATGGAAATCATATCTAGGACCATCATCCTCATCAGGTAAACCAGACTGGTTATTTCCCATGATTCACAATCTTGGTATGGAAACAAATATATTTTAATTAGACAGCTATTTAAGAAACAGAATTACATCAGAAAATCATTTTTTTTAAATAATAATTTCTCTGAGATGGGAGCCTAATAAAATGTTTAAATTAATTTTTTTTGAATGGCTAATTAAAAAAAATAAAATAATTAAAATTCTTATTCTAAGTTATTATTGACATTATTTCTTTGCAAAGCCATGATGAAAGGCTGGCAACAATTTTAACTCCTGATAAGAACAAAATTACATCGTCATTTGTTCACCCAAAAATGTGTCAAAGCTGCTATAGTATGATACACGATACCTATAATAACAAATTGCTATATTATAAAGTAAATTTGACTTGATAGTTTTGTGAATATGGTTATGGTTCCCCAAAACTATTATAGCCTAGTGCTTAAGACCTACATAGCCTACAAGACAGAACCTATGATAATAATATAAATCGCCCTGTTATAATTTACAACTTTTTAGGCCTAGACGTACAGCCTACAGATAAATGGCAATGTACAGACTTCAAATTCTGTTTTCACGATGGCATTGGTGGCGATGGAGTTTCAGACAACAAAATATATTCCCTAGCTCTCACAGTGAATCACAGGAACATCTGATTAATTTTTTTTTTAAATATTCAAAATCGAAAAACACAGTATTGTTCAGCATCCCATTCTCTTTACAGTGATATATCATACAACCTACTTAACACAGCGAAAAGCATATTTACCCAAGCAATGTTTGCATTTTAAGTGGGCAAAAAGTTGAACAAGGTGCACGTAACTCTGCAGTGATTTGTCACAAGCAGAAAAATGATTATTCAAGTAACTGCATAAGGTCATTAGAGGTCTACTGCCACCTCCGCCTAATCATTATAGGTAGTTAAATAAACCTGGCCTACAACTTAAATCTGGTATTGTTTCTACTACATCTTCTTCTTCTATATTTTTGAGGGCCCACGATCAATGAATTGATCATTCTGGCACCTATTTTAGGCTTAGTCCTTTTCTTAGTCTTACTATTAATACTAAGTTAAATATACTATTTAATTTCTCATACATTTGCCACAAGTTGCAATTGCCACGATAACCACATGAAATGACAAATATAAATTTCCCCCACAATTTTAATCAAGTTAAAGACAGACACCACATGGGTGCTTCCTCCCTTTCCAGGATTGCAGATATTTTTGTTCATATCCATCTCAGCAAATCTTGTAAGATGATGAATTTTTTTCTTTTTTGACACAATATGATGATGATGTAAGTGTAGCCTCCTTTAGGAAACAGCAAATCACCTCTCTCCATGCACCTGGATAACCCAACAGAACAACAAGTGACTTTGACTTGGCACCAGTAGATTTGCCTTGTGAAATACAGCCTATGACATGATACTTTATCTCCAGTTTGAATTCAGATTTGCCATCAAAGGTTAATGACTCCCATAAATTTTTCTAGGGATCAAACTCATCCAAGAGCTTGAAATTGATGCAGTTTAGCCCACACAGCCATCCATGATAAACATGACCACATATTTTGGAGAATATTGTTCATGATTCATGCTGTGTTCACATTCAAATGTGACATATACAAATTTGATGGCCATTTTGAATTTTATTGAGCTCATCTTAAGTACCGCGGATTTATTAAAACGTCTGTTGGGATAATGTTATTATTGTTATGACGATCACGAAACTATATGATATGATATTTAATGTTGTCTTCATTAATTCCTTTAAATAATTTCAATTAAGTGCTCTTTTTGACAGCTGTTTAAACTCTCTGTTTAGTCTTACAATTTTATTTTAGCATTTTAGTCACTTTTAAATTTTTCTGACAGACTTTAAACAGAGTTGAATTTGAACAATGAAACCAAATAATTAATGAAAAAAATCATAACTTTCTTATGAATGATTGACCGCCTACAACCTTAAATTTGGTATCAATGAATTGTTTTTTTTAAAACTAGCTCCTAAGTCCTATTCTATAAGTACAAAAGGCTAAGCTATAATTATAATAATATAATTTAGACCTATGCCTATTCTATATGCTTATTATAGCCGCTATACTATACTTAATTTTTAATTTTTAATAACTACATAAATTTAAATTTTGATGAACATTTTGTCCGAAGTTCAAGTTACTACGCCAAGTAACTACCAACTGCATTAAAATAATTTGCTAATAAATTATAACCTACATTAATTTGATTTCATTACGCTCTAGAAAAACTGTTGCAGATTTTAATTTCTCAAAATTTGTTAACAGGCCAACTTCAAACGTAAATGTTGACAATTTGTTTACACATTTTGAAAAATTCAAAATAATCTGGTCCAACCTTTTACCGACATCATATATTAAACCGATATCAATCCGAGGTGACGTGATTCTAAATGAATTTTCACATAACATGAAAAATATTTTATTCTTGTGATTCCGTCGGGATTTGTGCTTAAAATGATGTAAAATTGAGATAACAAAGCATGAAAGTAATCATTTATTTATATGAATTACTCAAAATTGTGTTACTTTGGTCTAATGTAATTTGTTCTTGTGCAAAGCAAAAGTACAAATAAAGCCTAGCCTAATAATCATAAAACATTTATAAATTATTATACAATTATTTTTAAAAACAAGTTAATTTTTATTTAAGATTTTAAAAATTTTGTATGCACTAAAAATTTTTTTTTTAAAAATTTATACTATGGATAATATCTTTCGACCCGTTGATTATTACTTCCCATGAGAGAAGAAACTGAGTTAAAGATTGCTATACTCTTTCTTTCTGTCTGCCAGGAGCGCTCAGTGCCAAAGGTGAAACCAACTTTTTTTGCGTCTCAAGTGCGTACATAAAAGTAAACGATACTAAATGGCACCATTGGAAGCACGAAATTATGATCAACTTATAGACAAGTGGAAACAAGTCCATTGCAAACAAGTGCAAAGTGCAAACAAGTGCTAAGTGAAAACAAAAGTTGTCGTATTATATAATATATATAAATATATATAT